AGCCCCACTCCCTCATCACAGGGGCCTCAGTCTGCACCCCCCACGTCTCTTTCTTCCCCCTTCACCCCTTCCCCACAACAGACTTACCAGCTGGACACTGCTCTTCATGCAGCTGCGTTGTGCAGCATGTAGGTGGGCAGGAGCACACGCACGTGGCATTTATTGATGACATTATTGGTCACATCAGCCAGAAAAAGCCGACTGCAGATAATGTCAATTTTCCTTTTATCGGTGCCATCACAATATGAACTGATGTATCAGTGTACCTCTAGTATGGACAGTTATTATGTTGGCCAAGTCATTCCAAATTATGCAGAGATTCATGCTGTGGCTTTAGCAAATGTTATTTTATGTAATAAGTCACATAATAAAGCAAAGGGTTGAAAGGGACCTCATTGGTCATCTAATCTAACTTCCCATGCAGATATAGAATGTATCCAAACCCAGACAGATATGCCTAGTCAACCTCTTCCTGAAAACCTCCAATGAAGGAGATTGCACAACTTGTGTAGGCAGCTTGTTCCACTGACCCACTCTTCTGATAGTAAGTTTGTGTATTTTTTCCCTTAATGGGTTTAATCTAAATTTACTTTGCTATAGTTTAAGCCCATTGTTTCCTGTCTTACCCTCTATGGAAAGGGAGAACAACTGCTCTCTCTTCTTCACAATAGTCTTTCAAATACTTAAAAGTGGTACCATGTCCTTCCTTTAATCTGCAGACTAAACATATCTAGTTATCTCAACCTTTTGACATACAGCTTGCATTGCAATCCACTGATTATCATTTTTCTCACTTGCCTCTACATCATATCCCATTTCTCTACACCCTTCACTGGCTCTGGTGCCCAGAACAGGACACAATACTGAAGCAGAGTCCTAACCATTTTTAAGTAGAGCAAGACTACTCCCTTCTTGTCTTGCAAACAATACTTATATTAATGCAACCTAAAATTGCATTTGTTTTTGGAAAGAGCATCACATTGTTGACTCATGTTGAGACTGTAATCCACCACAATACACAGATCTTTCTTGATAGTGCAAATATCTAGACCAGCGATGTCCAACTTCTCAGTGGCTAGAGGCCACAGTTTCCTCAGCTGTACTCTGTGCAAGCCACATGCCCCACCCCCCCACTGACCACAATGCCACCAGATAGCAGGTGCCCCAGAATTACACAGATTTGCTGGGTCCCAATAAGCCTCTCAACTACAGGATCACTTGGCTCTGTGGGTCACCCTGCCCCAACCCCAGGGACTAGGGCAAACAAGGCACAGGAGCTGAGGCAAGAAATAGAAGCTAGAGGAGGGAATTCAGAGACAACGGCGGCAGAAGCAGGAGTGACTGGGAAACAGTGCCCAGACCAGAAGCCTATGGGTTGCAGGTTAACCCCTCAAGGGCCACATGAAGCCCATGGGACAACAACTGGACAGCCCTAGTCTAGCTAGGTACTCTTATATTATCAATGTTTTTGTTCTTCTTTCTCTACTATGAAAGCTATCATGAATGTTACATCAGAACATTCATGGTGCCATCAAATTTTTTTGTTCTAGTTTACTAAATTTAAAAAGAAAACTATTTCTAAATGTGAATATAAGTTCTAAAGAATGGGAGAAAATACAATTCCTATCATTTAAATATTTAGAACTAGTTTAAGAAGGGAAAAGGGAAAATAGGGCTTTAAGTTACTTTGTTTACTGTGTTTAATATTTTAAATATAAATAAAGGTAGTGACCACAAAAAACAATGTCTGGGTAGGTGATGTGAACACAGAGAACAAAAATGCGAAATCCTCCACACTTTCCACTCAATATTCAGACAGAACAATTCATACATATGGTTGTGAAGATAATTCAGTTTCCCTGTTTCTATAGCCAGTCCTGACCCTATGGTCAATACCACTTATTGGTATAAACAACTCTTCCATTAGAAACTGGACTTGCATCACCAGGCATAACAATCAACAATCTTCAGAAGCACTTTTCAACAATACTGATATGAACTAGATTAGCCCACAGAGGTAAAAGACTGAATTCAATTACCCATCCTCTGAACCACTAATTAACAGGGATCCGGGTTTTTCATTTCCCATGGAAAAACAGAGTAAACCATGGCTTTTGCCTTTTACCAGAAGTAAACATGGATTTCTCATTTTACTGGAGAAACCCGTGGATTTTGCTGTTTTGCAATAAGCTCCCTGCAAGCTAGTTCTGGCCTGCAGGGAGCTGGCAGGGAGCGAGAGGAAGGCGGAAAGACAGGGGCGCCACATGCATAGACATGCACATGGCCCCAGGCAACTTGCAGGTCAGCTCCAGCAGGTAAGTGTGGGGGGGAAAGGGGGATTGAGGCCCCCGTAGGGAGGGAGGGAGCTGGACAGGTTTGGGGCTGCTGCCCAGCTGGGTGGAGCTTGGGGCCTGAGCCTCCAATGCGCAGCTGCAGGGGCTGCGGGTGGCTCATCCAGGGGAAGGCCGGTTCCCCACTGCTGCCCACACTCCCAGGGGACAGGGGGGACCCACACCCCACAGACTGGTACCTGGGGCAGGTGCAAGGCCACAATGTGCAGCTGCAAGACCCCAGCCAGAAGCAGGACAGGACCGTAGGTGACTCATCTGAGGGAGGGAGAGGGCTGGTTTCCTGCTGATGTACGCACTCCTGGGGGACAGGAGAGACCCTGAGCCCCACAGATCTGTACCCAGGACAGGCACAGGCTGCGGGTTTGAGTTTCTGCCCTGCTTCCCTCCCCCAGGGCCTCCAGAGCTGGCAGGAGTGACCTGGCACGGCTGGGGACAATGGGGACATGTGGGGATTCCTCGCCAGTGCAAGCTCCCCCATCACTGCCCTGGCGACCCACCTCCAGTGGCTGCCACTGCTGTGGGGGGCTGCAGCAAGGGCAACGGTACAAGACTGCCCCCCTCAAAGCAGCATCAGGCGCTGGAGGTGCATCACCAGGGCAGTCGGGGGGGGGGGGGTTCACAGCACCGAGGAATCTCTGCCTGGCCCCACTGTCCCCAGCCATGCTGAGGTGTGCCTGCTGGTTCTGGAGACCCCAGGGGAGGGAAGCAGGGCAGGAGACCCAGGCTCCAAGCCCCACCCGGGTGGGCAGCCCCCGCATCCTGCACCAATCTGGGGGGCCACGGGTCCCTCTACCCCCTGGGAGTGTGCACGGCAGCAGGAAGCCACCCCACCCAAGCCTGCAGCAAGGTGGCCAGTGGAGGCAGGGGGCTGAGGGCCTGGGTCCATACCCCTGGCAGCTGGCGACCCCCTGTCAGGACTGGGGGAGCAGAGGCACCAGCAGGGCCAGGGGGGCTGGGAGGGTCCTTAAATTTTAATCATGGATTTTGGGGGTTTTAGCAGAGAATTTGTGATTTTTAGCAAAGAATTTGTGATTTTTTATCAGGGAAAACCAGGATCCCTGCTAATTAATTCTACATACCACAACAGACTTTCCAACCCATGGTCAGCCAGAGGCAGAATGACCACTGACTTCACAGTTACTCAGTCTAAAACAGTGGTTCTCAACTTTTTTAGACTCAAGGCACCACTTGTCTGACTCGAGGCAACCCTCCATAGTTTTTGTGAATAAAGGTACACCCCATTTCAAAAACTAATTTATTACTGGGCTTACCTCCTTGTATAGCGGCAGGCAGTGGAGGTGGAAGAACAGGGTACAGGGAGAGCTTGAGTCTGCTCTTATCTGCATATCAGTTCATACTTCCTGCAGCACCCTTCAAAGGACCTCACAGCACCCCAGAATGCCCTGACAACCTGACTGAAAATCACTGATCTAGAATTTGCCAGATGTTAAAAAGCTAAGGTGGGTTGTAGTATTGTAGTCCACAATCAGCCTTTCATTACAGGAGTTCATTCTAAGAAATTAGTTTCTCCTCCTACTCCAAATCCACGCACACTTTTCCTTCTTGTTGAAGTGATCTGTGATGAACCCACATTTCAGATATCACACAAGGTATTTTAGTGTTGACCAAGAAAGCTGTGTATTAAGACATTTACCATTTACCATAAATAGTATAATAGAATGTGAAAGTCATGTAGGTAATTTCTTGATCGAACATTAGAACCAATATTTTAAAGATAATTTTTCATCTAACAGAAAGGAACAGTTTGCAAATTTGCACAATTTTCTCTTTATTCTAATACCTCCTTACATCCTCTAGCTATTTCTGAAGTTACCATTTTGTTCATAATCAGGAAAAATGCTGTAAATATATGCAAAAATATGAAACATTTAGGAATCCCTTGCAAGCACTACAAAATAGTGAGATATAGAAGAATGTTATTTTTTAAATAGCAAGAGGCTTAAGGGTTTTCAGCTTATGCTATTTTATCACCACTTATGGTCTATAAATGTACAGATACTTCTCACTAATCTCCATGCTGTACAGAAATGCTTCCAGGATTTCCAATGATTACAAACAGTGATCACAATGATTAATAAGACAGACTGGAGTTTTTCGTGAAGTGGTACTTTTGGAAATGAAATCACAGTACAGTAATGTTAGGAATCTGTGGTATTCTGTTATTTTACATTGACTGGAAGGAAGAGATGCATTGATTCTAATTTTTTCTTTACCATCCTTTCAGCCCTATTCACAAGAGACTAGAAACACAGAAAATGACTTCTGTGATGCAGGTATTAAGTTCAAAGATGCTACTAGCTGTTGTAGTGTTTTCACTTAAAAATGAACAAGTATTAAATAGCAAAAAAGTGTCACTATTAAGAAGCAAGTATTTCCAAACCCTTACCTAACTTATATTCTTTTCTCAGCTGTTTATAAAACTCAAACTGTAAGAAAACATCTTGATTAAGGTACATTTTCATACAACTTGAAAATAAAACTTACCTGTCAGAGTAATCTGTAGGTTGGTTATGTCTTTAGCTATGGTGAAATGCTCTTTTGCTTTTTTATACTCATAGTAATTCAAAAATGTATATGCACACTCAAGTTGAAACTGAACAGCTAATTGCCAGTATTCATCACCTGTGAGTAAGCTTTCTACTTCTGTCACTGCAAAATAAGAGAAAAGAGAGATATCAGAACACCTCTAGGGAATAAATCCTTACCAAAACAAACAAAAAAAATCAATGAATTACAATACCAGAAAGAAAAAAATGGTACACTGATAGCATACCCATCAGTCTCTGTACTACAAGGCATTTAAAAGTATATTGGTAGGTGTTAATGACCTGTTATCTGAATTTACTTGGAAATGTAAAGATATACACATCTTAATAAAAAAATTTGAAAAGATTCTTCTCCAGGAAGGCTACACAAGATCTTGTTGGGGGTTTTTTTAAGTCAACCATGAGGTAAGAAAGAAGGACAGGTCAGTTTTCTTCTTTTATAGCCAACATTCAAGCTACAACTGGCCTAGGTTCTTAATGCTTTCCTGCAAATAAACAATCAAGATGACATCCCCTAAATGAATGGCTATTAAGAAGAAAAACCCAAGGCTGAATCGATTCCATCTGCATAGGTTAGTCTAAGCTGAACCAATAAGCAAGTGAACAGACATTCACTTTTGATTCTGGAAATGCAGCCACATGCCTTCAGTGGCCCAGGCCAGAAGCTGGGGGCACTAGAGCATGCCTCCCTGCTCCACTGGAGCAGACAGCTTGGGCCAAGGCTATCCCACCCACCGTGCAAGGGGAAGGAATTGCATGGGAGGTGGAAAGCATCCTGGGATTCTGGAGGACTGCAAGTTAACTTGAATCTGGAGAGGATCTGTCAGCAGCTCAATAAACCAATTTAACCTAAATCAGTTAAATCTTCAAGTGCTCAGCAACTGTGACCTAGAGATTTTTTTCCCTATGACTCAGGGTCCCCCGTTTGTTAAATTGGCAGTTATGCTGACCTCCTTTATATAGCACTATGGATATAAATTACTATATAAAGCTAGGTATTATTAAATCTTCCTTCCCAGAGGGAAAAAATTAAGTGTTAAAATTATAAACAGAAATCAATGGAAAAAAATGACAAATAAAGCAACCAAAATTAAGGTTGGATTGTGCTCTGTGACTTTAAAATAGTATCATATACTTGCGTTTTCCCAAATTTATAAAAAACCTAATTTTATTTTCTTTATATGACTAATAAGAATACAGAAACTGCCCTGCCAGATCAAACTGGATCAAGTCAGCCTAATCCAATAACCTGATGGTTCAAGAACTAAGTATATAGTTGAAGCTGATGCAGTAAGTAGTTGGGAAAAAATGGAATTTAGCTTCTCAAGCTGAAAATCTAAACAGACTGAAAAAGTGGAACCCAACTCAGTGGTCACTGAAGGACCTGTTGCCCCTTCTCCGTGGCTGGACTAGGCTAGTATCAGGTTCAGGTTGCCACTGACTACTCCAGAGCCAGAGAACAACAGAGAAGAAGGTAGTAGGGACCTGGAGAGGGGAAACACAGATTGGGAGACAGGCAGAAGGGTTAGGCACAAGCACAGAGGAGGGAGGCAGAAGCAGTGGGGTAGGCACAATCACAGGCATAGGGGAGCAGGCACAGGCCCAGGAAGGCTAGGGGTGGGGAGGGCAGGCCCAGGTACAGGGGGCAAGGGGCAGGCAGGAGGGAACAAGCAGCAAGCAGTTGGTGGGCACATGGCATGGGTCAGAAAGCAAGGGGGGCAGGTACTGGGATGACAAGAGACAGGGGTCTGGCCTTCCATCCCACACCACTACTCTTCTGCTACAGCAGTGGGGGGATGACTTTAAGAAGACCTTCCACCAATTAGATTCTATACCTGAAAAAAACATAACAAATGTATAATTTTCCACATGTATAATATAATAAAAAATGCAAAGTCATCTTGGATTCTGGTGAATAGAGTATTATTTTTAAAAGGAAGAAGATGGAAAAAGAAAATAGGGTAGTTAAAAGGAAAGAGAAATATATTTAAAAACTGGTATACCATATTTTCTCACATATAACCCACACCTTTTTCACCAAAGCCAGGTGGTAGAAATTAGGGTTCACATTACATGAGATAAATGAATCCCCCACAAAAATTCTTGTACCTTAAGACATCATGCATCAAAAAGATTCAGCCAAGATTTGGGGAAAAAAACAGTTACCAAAAGACAGAAATCCTATTCTTTATGTAGACACCTCAATATAGGGCTTGATTTTCAGAAGTGCTGAACATCTACCACTATCTAGTTTTCAGTAGTTTAAAAAATCAAGTCCAACCCTTAGGTTGGCAGATCCAGAGATGCTCAAGATTACACTTGATTTTTAGAAGTCAATTCTGAGCTGTTCACTGGTCTTTGCAGGTCTAAAGGTGAGACAGTGATTCTGTAAACAACTGTGTATACAGTATACAGATCAAGGTTGCACAAACTGTCTCATACTGGATAAAATTTCATCTAATTGTAATCTCCTAGTTTTAAAAAAGTCATATGCCATACATCAGATATAACTGCCATAAATTCCAAAATTGTTTCTCATAGTCAGGGTGGCCAATGCAAGAGAAGATCAATATCTAAGTGTGTCTGAGTTTCTTTGAATCATTGTAATGTCCTATTACCAAGTTAGCTCCAAACCTTATTTTTAACTTTTTATAAGGAAGCAGAATGGTATCTTAAATATATAGTAGAACATTCAAAATCACTTTCTGATAAAATTCTTCATAGTACATGTTTTCATTTTTCTTACTAACTCAAATTTTAGGCTGAATCAGTTTAAGGTAAACAGAAAGACTAAAAAATATTTTATACCCTCATACAGAGTCTACTTAATAAAACTCCTCAGACAAATAACAAAATTACTGTGAACAAATGCAAGTAAAAACTTGCTAGCATAGAATTAATGCTGACATTATGAAAGTGCCATGGATGCACACATTCAGAGAAACAATAACTGTTGAGTTTTATGACCTGCATGTTTGCATTCTTTAATAATAGAAGAAGTTTTTGAAATTCCTTCCTCTTGTCCTTCCTAACCTATATAACACACTCCAATAATCACTTATTGGATATTTTCTAATATTTATACATATTTTTTAAAGCAACCATCCATCCATTTAAGGAACTTTGGAAATTACCTAAACTACAAATACCATATTTTCTCAAAAACAACATGCCTCAGAATAAAATATGCATCTTGTCTTTGAAAGGCAGAATGGAATAAAAAAGATCTTTCTTAATGGTAAGTAAAAAGAACAGCAGCTAGGGAGCAGATCCTGCTCATTGTTCCTGTGAGTTTATGAAGTTTTTACTTTCCCTTTTGTCCAGTAAGTGGCAAAAAATGTTCTTTCTGCATTCTTTGCATATAATGCACACTCTAATTTCCATTAGCTGGCTTTTGGAGAGAATGTGTGTGTTGAATACAATAAAATATGGTGCTGCATTATAACCCCTATATTATACTCTGTTATAAATAAGCACGAATAATTTAATCTCATATAACCCATACCCCAACCAGTCAGTCCAGAAAAACAAATCTCCACCTTCAGCAATGCACCACCTTCACAAAAAAAATAAGAGAGGAGGAAAATTACCTTTGCAGCATGCACTGTAGGTCATAGGTTTTAAAGGATGCCTATTTTTAAGACTTAGGTTGATTAGACTTACATTTCTTAGAAGCATTTTACTACCATGTTGATAGATTCAGCATGTATTTTTTAAGTAAAAGATCGGGTTTTGAAAAATTAGGAATTGAAAGCAGAAGTCAGAATTGGTTCTCTCTGTGTCACTTAATGTCAAAGACTCCCTTGACCTTTAAAATTAACACATCAACAAATTTATCATGACTAAGTCCAATAATTTAAAAAGATTTCATTTTTTCTTTTGAAAGTTGTAATTCCGCAGCAAACCTCTTACTGTTACAGAACCCTGTTCAATCGATATATAGTGCAAGGCAGTGTTATGTTGAAACACTGCATACTAGCTTCCAAACTGGAAGCAGTGTAGTTGCGTGAACGTGGAGCTTCCCTGGCCTATATACAGTGCTGGAGTACATGCGACTATACTGCTTCTGGTTCAGAAGCTAACATGGTGCTGCCTTGTCCCATATAGACATGCATAATTTGTTGAATGTCAATATTATACAGTTCATAAATGAAGTTTTCAATTCAGTAAAACTGCCTGGAACATTTTTTAATGCTAAGATTTATAAACAACACAAAAGAACACAGAAGGACCTAATCCTTCACTCTCAGCATCCATTGAGACCAACAAGTAGCATTACTGCTTCTTCACAGGTTGGTTATTTTAACGTTATTCTATAATCGTTGCATTAAATGTTACCGTAAAATTTCTCCTATTAACCTGGAAAATTTGCAAGAGCCCTAAACTATTCTGGAGCTTGGATATCACATTTATGGCTCGATCCTACAGTTCAAGGGTGTCAAACACATCTGGGGCCTAGGGCCAGATTTGGTCTGCAGGGCTCCTTTTGGGCCAGATCCAAACCGATGCGAGTGGTACCACCATGGTCACTCCAGTGGCAAGGAATCCAGCAGGGGAAAGCCAAGCTCTCTGCTAATGACCATGTCCAAAAGGACCCTAGATTTTGCAGCCCCAATTTCCAGTGCCTGCCAATTGCCTGGCAGGTCAGATTAAGAGACTCCATGGGCTAAGTCCAACCCACAGTCCATATGTTTGACACCACTGCTACAGTTGGTTCATATCCCAGAACAAAATGACCTTTCATTAAGAAAAAAAAGTCCTAAAAACTTAGGAATTTAAGGCCGTCTATATTCTCTTTGGCAAGGACAAAAACTGTGCGTGCCAACATGTCTAAAAAAAAGTGTCTTAAAAATGTTCAGTTGAAAATGCACTTTCAGGCTTGTTGAAATTACTATGCAAGAATCTTCAGCCAACAAATGTACCGGTCTTGCTGGCAGGGGCAAGGGGAAGGAACTAATGCCATATTATTGTACATTTAGTTTTAACATAAAACAGTTTGTTTTCTGATCAAGATTAGAGTCAATATTGATTTTTATAAATTATTTCCTCTCTCTGCATGCAACTTAACACCTCTCTGAAACTGAATACCAGTTACAGTTCAGTCTTTGATACAGGTGATGGGGATCCTGAAATTCAGTGGGGAAGAATGAAAAAAAAGGTTGGTCAGCATCTCTCATGAAGTTGCAGAGAACTAAACATATTCACATTTCAAAACCAAACCACCTTTGTTAAATAAGGGCACCTATACACGTGCCTGATGCCTGCTCTGTGTGCTAATTAGCACATGTTGGAGCAGACTTTGATTAATCAAGTCTGCTGCAGTATGCTAATTAGCATGCTCCAGCAGCCTTAGCATCACATGCATTCAGCATCCCCGCACTTCAAAATGGCAGTTGGGGCGTTTTAGCTAAAGCTTGTCAAGTAAGCTTTAGTTAAAGCACCCCTGCAGCCATTTTGAAGCATGGGACGCTGAATACGTGACACTAGGGGTGCTTTAATTAGAGCAGCTCCCGAGAGCACCCTCCCCACCCCAGAGCATGCATAAAGATGCCCTAAGAGACCAAAAGAACAAAGAAAAAGTCAACACCGGCAAGTGTTTGCGACAAATTAAGAGTGGCACACATTGGACACACACAATACCTTCTGTCCTGCAAGCAGATAGAATGTAGTCAGGCTTCCAGCCTCAAGCAGAATATATATCAGCATAAACGAACTGTTAAAAATTAACATGAAATTGAAGTAGTGCCTTTTCAATTCTTAGCAGCTCCAGGAATATCTGGTAAGAATCATGCTGCAAATACTGACATGGCTACAAAAACATCTTTTTTTGAAAAGTGATTAGTACTGGATGGCAACTTAAACTGAATAATTTGAAGCATACCTTGATCTATGCAGGTCTGAGCAACAGCAAAGAGCTCAGGTGATCGCTCTTCTAGCACTTGCTGGTGAATGTTCACACATCGCAAAGTCCACCAAGGCAATGTCTGTAAGGGAGAATAAGGATATCCTATGTAAATTACTAATACAGGAGATTTTTTTTTTAAAAAGAAAAAGGTTTTTAAAATGCATCTTCACAACCATATTTGAAATTGTTGCTTTATAACAATCCCAAACCACATCTGACCTACTTAAAAACAGACTGACCTACGAAGAATTTTACAGTATTAAAATTAAATTGCATCATCAAAGCCAAATAAGTTTTGAAGGAGGTCAAAGAGAAATTAAAAAACATCTAACAAAAAAGCCAGCAGAGATGGGTGTTCAATCATCAGCTAATTTGTTTCTGCCTCCTTGTACTTCCCTTATATGAAAGCTTAAATCAACATACCCTTTCCACAACACTCCCTCCTTGTTTCTGTAAAGGAGAATGCTACAAATCTGAAGCAATCTAACAAGTGTGACAAATTATGACTTGCTTCAAATTAGAAATCCATCATAAAGATACAAGCACCATACATCTTTTTGATGTAAAATGATGAAGACAGCACCTATAACAATGCAGGCTCAAATTCACCGTTAATTGAATCCCCTTCAGCCTTGCTTCATTTTCTCCTTGCTATTTTAAGATTGGTACTTTAAAAGTTGTCTCTTTAGAGGCAGCCCTGCAGTGGCTTGACTGAAGATAGGCAGCAAAGGTTTTCCCTTTTTCTCCATATCGTACATCAGGGCTGTCTAACTTCCAGGCACCTGGTGGCCGCATGCCACACACATCACATTCCTGGGAGCCACATGAGATGCAGGCCATAGAACAAGGGGTGCTTGCCACGTGGGCAGCCCTCCCAGGCTTACCCCTGTATAGGCAGCGTAGCATGCCCCATCTCTCCCACCATGTGCACAGTATGGGCAGCCCATATCCCCCCATTCCTGACCACAAGCACTGGAAGCCTAGATCCCCCAACCCAACTGGACCATGTGCACAGGCCAGCTCCCCCCATTTCTGGATTCTGCACATGCTGCACAGGCAGCCTAGCTCCAGCCTCCCCCACCCCAGCCACACATGCAGCCCACTCACCCCTCTGCAGCACAGGCAGCCTGGCTTCTCCCTTAAGGCTAAGTACAGACAGCCAAAAAGACCAAGGCAGAATCAAAAAATCTTTGCAGATTAGTCTAAACTACGTAGATTGAACCAATAAGCAAGTGAAAAGACATTTACTTTTGATTCTGGAAATGCAGCTACATGCCTGCAGTGGCTCAGGCCAGAAGCCAAGGGGTGCTAGAGCATGCCTCCTTGCTCCGCTGCAGCAGACAGCTTGGGCCAAGGCCAGCCCACCCAACCTGCAAGGGGGGCATTGGAAGAGAGGTGTAAAGCATCGTGAGATGCTGGGGGACTGTAAATTAACTTGAATCAGTTAAATCTGATTACTATATCCATCCAGGTTTATCTTATCTTAAACCTGTTCTGGCCATTCTGAAAGCGATTTATGTGCAAGGAACTTTTGCTGTATTACAGATTTGAACAAGTTTCTGATCACTTATACCAGTTTATGTGCAATTTCTGTCCCTAGCCTAAAAGGGTTGCATTCATAGGTCAACAAATGCTGTACCAATGATCCACTTCTGTGCATCACTGTGTGAGGTTTAGTACTTGGCCTGTGTGACAGCTGAAAATTATGTCCGTGTTATAAAGGTGCTTGCTGAAGGCTCTATGAAGATTAGACCAATTGTTTTTCTGTCATTTGTTTAAATATTAAGCTATATGTTGTTGCTAAGAGTTTAATTAAAGTTTAAAATGTAGTAAAGCCTTGTATAAAGTAAGGCCTAGTAAATTTAGCAAAGCCTTGAAGTAGTAAGGCCCTGTGGCATAGTTAAAATTAACCTTATCAAAGGAATGCAAGGCTTGTACTGCTATTGGTCAGTCTAAGGACAGTTAAAGTAAAAAGAATATGAATGGCTGTAAGTTATCAGCACAGTTCAGAAGTTATAAATTGGCTGAAACATCCAGAAATCATTCAGAAGGAAGATACAGCTCTGTGAAAGGGATTAATTAGCTGTTGACCTGGATCAGAGGGCCTGTGGATATTGAGGAACCCAAGAACTGAATACCAGAATCATTCCTGGTACCCCTCAGACAGCGCTGATCGGGGACGCCTGACTTCGCTAAGCTTTGTGATAAAAGAAACTTGTCATACATCAGGCATCAGAGGGGACTGTCAATAAGTTGCCGACGCAAATTATTCTTGTCTGTCATTGTTTGCCTTGTTACTACACATAGTTGTGTTTTTGTTAAGTCAATAAACCTTTCTTACCTTTCTACCCCCCAACCACACTCTCAATCAATCCTGAACCCTCCGCAGGCGGCTAGAACAGGCCTGCACCAAACTGACCTGGTCTAAAACCCATTTGGTTTCATGTTAAGATAAATCCAAGTGCTCAAAATATATTTGGTTTTTAAAAAATACATTCAACATAGTTGTGCTTTTGGGGGCTCGATCCATTATGTTTGAATGCTAAAAGCAAGCTAATAAGACACTTCTGCTAATTCCATATTTGCCTGTATTTCCAGAACATCAAAGGATCATGTTAACAAGTTCTGCATTTTTGTTTGGTTCAGATTATTTGAACACAGACTATTTTTTAAACTTCAGACTGGTCATGAACCTCATCCTTTAACATATTCAAAAAATGTAATTTTAAAACCAAAGGTGTTGAAAATGAAAAACAAGATGTTAACATTACAATGTTTATAAAAATATAGTGAATACATTTTAAACTTTACATTAAAAATACCAAAGTATAAGCATATAAGCAAACAAATATTTATATTTATAAAGTATTTAAATGTGTTAAGCTGCATAGTTCAGTATATTTGCAGTATATCAATGAAATAAAATGGTGAGATGAGGACCTGCTTTGCTCTGGACATTTTTAAATTAATTTGACTACAAAAGATCTCATTTGTTATCAAAAATAGGTTTCTGCACTGATAACCCCTAGTATTCAAAAATCATAAGTCAGGTCCTAGAAAATCATGAGATTGGCTTCATAGAATCATATCACAGAAGTAGGGTCAGAAGGGATCTTATAGATCTTCAAGTCTGACCCCCTGCCAGGGCAGGAGAAAAAACTGGGCTCAAATGATCCCAGCTAGGTAGGCATCAAGCCTCCTCTCAAAGACCCCCAGGGTAGGAGCCAGCATCACTTCCCTTGGAAGCTGGTTCCTGATCGTAGCCGCCCTAACTGTGAAGTAGTTCTTACGGATGTCTAATCTAAACCTACTCTCCAACAAAGATCATAAGATTATTTTTTTTTGTAACTAATAATATTTCTTCTGATTTTTCAGCTTTTAAGGATATTAAGACACTTTTCTCAACCATTCAAGACTCCTCTGCATGAATACATTTAAATTATTTTTGAAACATAAAGAAATATATTCCAAAGTAAACTGTTTTTTTTGCCTGAAAAATCACAAACCAAGAAAATTTGTAAGTATACAAAGTAACTAAGGAAAAGTTTTACATCCACCAGAAAAACTAAGATGGGGGGGGCGCAAAATACAGCCCATGGGCTAGATCCAGGCTGCCAGACTATTCTATCCAGCCCGCAGGGCCCCTAAAAAATTTAGAAAATATTTATCTGCTCCTGGCTGCCTGTCAAAGATGACAGGAGCCAGGGGTAGTAGGACCCCAGGGGAACCCTCAGCAGGACACAGCAGCCCAGCCCTGCCCCACCCCCAGCCATTTCCCTGCCTTCCTACCTCTGCACTGCTTCAGCACCACGTGGCTCTAGGCTGCACTGCCAGACCACAGGAGCACAGGCCCACTCCAGTACCCTGGGTGTGTGTGTGGGTGTTCGTAGGGTGAGTGCCACACACTCATCCCACCATACACGTGCACCCACACCTCCCCTTGCACTCCCATACACACAGACACCCACACCCCCTCACATACCCCAGTCACCTTCCTCACAACACAACCCCCTACAAAACCTATACCCACTCACACCTCACATATCCACCCACATGCTCTCTCACCCCACACCCTCCACACCTATCCACCCCACACACACACCCAGACCCTCCCCCACAC